GCAGGGAGCCCGATGCGGGACTCGATCCCAGGACCCTGGGATCATGACCTGAGCCGAAGGCAGACGCTTAACCAACTGAGCCACCCAGGTGCCCCTATAAAGGTAATTTTTAATTACAAATTGTATAACTACATTTTCAAAAAGTTAGCAAAGAATATGATCACCTATATATGATTCTATTGGAAAACCATTTTTGTGTTTGTATGTTTTTTGAGTAACTGGATCATTACCTAAAAATGAAAAAGCTGAAGAACCAATAGTACAAGCCATGGTCTCTACAGTCACCTACAAAAACATTCATCATATGACTCTGGAAACTCTTTACTGTTTAGAAGCAAACCACCAAGGTTTTTCTGATAGTTCCACACAAATGAGCAATCCTAAAGGTGTTCTATATCTTAGTTGTATTTCAGGATAAAAATAACCATATGCATGGTTATAATCCATGCACAAGGATGATTTCATTTATGTCCAAACTGGAAATATGGCCTCCATCTTCTCCCTTGTCTTCCTCTCAGTCAAGAATCATGTTAGTTTCTTGGGTGGAATGAAAAGGAATGATGTCAAGTATCAGAACTAAAGTATTTCCTCTCTAGGTTGTCTCCCAAACCCCAGGAGAAGGCAAGAGGGAGGACCTTTAACAAATTCAATAAAAACAAAATTGCCTCAAGCATCCACAAAGAAACTTCTCAAAGGGCATTGCAGATTCTCAGAGGAACCAGGTACAGAATGATAGTACCAACTCGGATTAAAGAACACTTCTGTATTCAAGCAGAATACGTATCTCTGAGTTTCCTGGTAGCCAGGGAAAAAAAGGAAAATAAGATAGGTGTCATATTTTCCTTGCCTTATAAATGTTTTCCAGACCATTGGAAGACTCAAAATTTCTTCCCATTTTTGAACCCTGAAAGGACAGTTTTTACATGGATCTGTACATGTAGGACCACGAACAATGGAATAGACAATATTCTCAGTAATAGTTTGTTTTTTTTTTTAAAGATTTTATTTATTTATTCACGAGAGACAGAGAGAGAGACAGAGGCAGAGGGAGAAGCAGGCTCCCTGCGGAGCAGGGAGCCTGATGTGGGACTCGATCCCAGGACCCTGGGATCATGACCTGAGCCGAAGGCAGACAATTAACCAACTGAGCCACCCAGGTGTCCCATCAGTAATAGTTTTAATAAAAAAACAAGGACAGATCTACTTATAACTATTTCTTCTATGATCCCAGATATGAAGACAACAAAGCAAGATGTTTTTGTTTTTGTTTTTTTAAAGATTTTATTTATTCATTTGAGAGAGAAAATGAGATAGAGAGAGCATGAGAGGGGGGAGGGGGTCAGAGGGAGAAGCAGACTCCCCGCCGAGCAGGGAGCCCGATGCGGGACTCGATCCAGGGACTCCAGGATCATGACCTGAGCCGAAGGCAGTCGCTCAACCGACTGAGCCACCCAGGCGCCCAAGCAAGATGTTTTTAAAATCAGTGCCACAAAAGGAACTCCTAAAATTTCTGTCTGGATTCATGAATCCATTGTGCGACTTCCTTAGTGTTCTATTTTCCACTGCTCCTGCCTTTGTACATTTTCTCTGATTCTGTTTCTCTCTTGGGGATGAAAGCATCATCTGTTATGAGCCATTGTCCAACAAGCCATGTTGACAGCCAGAACAGAATGAATAAGCTGTCATCAGAGGCAGGTCCTGGTGAAAGCAGGAAGCAGAAACCATTTTGCCTTTGACAGGCTCCTCTCCATGGCCATTAGATCCCCCCACCCCCTGCCCCCTGTGGGTGCTCACTGCCCTCGCGGCTTACAACTGCCCACTATGTCCCACGCAGGCTCACCTCCTCAAATACTGCCACAGCTTTAAGATGACTTTCTCTTTTTATTTCCTATGGAAACCTCCCTTTCCTCAGGGCTGAGGGCAGCATCAAAAGGAAATGATGTATATCATCCAGGTTCAGTCTGAGAAGCAACAATGAGCTCAGGGATAAGGGATTTGGAATTAGACCTTACACAGTGATGGGAGGATCTGGGAAGTGCAGGTTGGAAAGGAGGAGTGAGATTAGACAGTCACCTGAGAAGTAGGTTTGCTGCCAAAGTGGGATGCAAAGGGGAAGCTGATAGAGAAATCTGTAAGGAGCTGTTGCCTGTGTTGGCTGGGGGAGGCCCACAGCAAGCACTGCTGATGAGCCTGGGGCTGCTGTTGGTCCTCAAGGTCAGCACTGGGATAGATGAGCTGGTCTCGGAGTATGGGAGGGCCGGGACAAGCTGGAACCTGCTGGCACCTCTCCGTCTGTCACTTCATTTAACCATGATGACAGTCTAAAGTCATGGCTACGTCTTCTCTTCAGGCTCCCGAATTTTATGCAGGTTCCTCTTTTGGCTAACTCTAACCTGAAACCATACAGAAAAAAAGATTTGGAGGGGCGCCTGGGTGGCTCAGTCGGCTAAGTGTCTGCCTTCAGCTCAGGTCATGGTCCCAGGGTCTTGGGATCGAGCCCCGCATCGGGCTCCCTGGCCCGCTTCTCCCTCTCCCTTTGCCTGCCCCTCCCCCTGCTTGTGCTCTCTCTCTCTGTCGAATAAATAAAATCTTAAAAAAAAAAAAAGATTTGGAAACATTGTTCCCATTTAAGTCGCTTGCTGGTTACATTTCTTAACATTTTTTCCCTTAACCACTCAGTTGCGTAGATGAAGATGCACCCATTTCCCCTGTGGCCTCAAAACCCCCAACCACACCACCATGTAGCCCCTGGAAGGTGCATAGTCCAGACTGAGGAACAGGGCTTTCTCTGGATGCTCAGCTCATCAGCCACTCCCCTGCTACAAATGATCAAAGGCTCCCAGCTGCCCTCAGGACCAAGTCTGAGCTCCCTCACCCAGCATTCAAGGCCTCCCTGGTCTGGGCTCACTCCACTTCTCCTGCCTTGTTTCCTGTCATTCATCATCCACTCCTGCCTGCCGAAGTCTCCTTTCCAGCACACTCTTGTGGGTCCCTGACTCCCCTGTGCGCTCGCTGTTTCCTCATAGTTCCACCTGATGTTCCTTTTCTCTGCTCTACTTCTCTGCCCAACTTACATGCCTGTCACATCCCTGAAGTACCCCCACCACTTCATCTTTGTTGGTTTGTACCATTAGCACCACCTTTCCACTTTGTATTATGTGTTGGTGTTTTGTCTGGCTTCCCAGGTAGCCTGTGAGCTCCGCATGGCACACCGTCAGAAGCCTACCCCAGCCTTTCTCCTCTTCCGACTTGCCGATATAAGACCAGCTATAGCTGGAGGAATCACTATTAGACTAAACCAGTCATGGAGACCCCATTGTCCTTTGCCAGTGAGTGATCTGACGTTGGGCATATGACTCAGTTCTGGTCAGTATAGGATGTATAGAAAAGACACCAGAGAGCTTACTATTCCTCTCTCTCTCTACACCATGTGAGGACACAGGGAGAAGGCAGCCATCTGCCAGCCAGGGAGAGCTCTAACCAGACGCTGAGCCCTGCAAACCTTGATCTTGGACTTCCAGTCTCCAAAACGGTGAGAAAATAAATTTCAGTTGTTTAAGCCACCTCATCTGTACTAATTTGTTATAGCAACTCAAACTGATAATTGATATATACTCAAATAGCTAAGACTTACTGAATGCTTATCATATGCGAGACATTATTCGAAGTATTTCTATTTTTTTTAAGATTTTTATTATTTAGAGAGAGCACGTGCGCATGTAGGGGGAGGGGCAGAGGGAGAGGGAGAGAGAGAATCTCAAGCAGACTCCGCGCTGAGCACACAGCCCAGTGCGGGGCTCAGTCCCATGACTCTGAGATCATGACCTGAGCCAAAATCAAGAGTTGGACACTTAATGACTGAGCCACTCAGGTGCCCTGTTCTAAGTATTTTTAAAGCACCAATTCATTTAATATCCCCAACTTTCCAGAGAAGTAGGTACAAGTACAATCATATCCATCATACAGATAAGGAATCTAAGACCCAGAAAGACTAAGAAACTCACCCCAAATCACAAAGGTGAAAAATGGCAGAGGTGGGATTTGAACCGAGCTTGCCTGACTGCTGAGCTCACACTTAGCCACTATGTTCTACTGCTTCTCAACAGCTGCCCTGGCTAGCTGATTCACCTGAAAATTCTCAAAGGCCAGCACAGCGCCCCACACGTGTTAAAGCATTTGTTAGAAGTGCCAGGCGTCTGCCGTGCTTTGTCAACAGTCATCTAGCTTCACCCTCACGACAAGCTTATCAGCAGGGTGGCCGACTGGCCTGCTTCCCCTGGGCTGAGGGGGCTCCTGAAAGGCAGGACTGTCAGTTTCAAACTGGGGCAAGTTGGTCACCCCTGCCCCCAGGTCAGTTCACAATTGCATTATGACTTTCATGCCCTGGGCACTTTTTCTTTGAAGGGCCCCTCCCACTGTCGTAGATTTCTGTGGGGCCCTCAAGATTCATTTTTCTTAATGGTATGAGAAAAAAATTAAAAACTTTTCTTCAACCCTGAAGGTTCATTTTTTTCTTCTTCCGATTTTAAAAGAAATCAAAGCATCTTAGTGGGGGTTCTAAAAATATGATGTGCCCTCGTTACTGTGCCCACATGCCTCCTGGTCCTGCTGGACGCACTGGCTCGAGGTTATAATCTGTCATGATCCCCATTTCACTGAGATTTTAAGTAATTGCCAAATAATCAAACATCTAGAAAATAATGGAACCAGGACTTGAATTCATACTGTCTCACTCCAGAGCCTATCTTCTTTTTTTTTTTTAAAGATTTTATTTATTTATTCATGGTGGTGGGGGGGGAGGAGCAGCAGTGGCAGAGGGAGAAGCAGGCTCCCCGCGGAGCAGGGAGCCCGATGCGGGACTCGATCCCAGGTCCCTGGGGTCATGAGCTGAGCCGAAGGCAGATGCTTAACCGACTGAGCCACCCAGGCGCCCCCAGAGCCTGTACTCATAACTGCTGTGGCAGTGTTTTCAAACATTTTTGATGGGGACCCACAATAAGAAATAAATTTTGTAACACAATGCCAGACACATACACACACACACACAGAGACACGTACAAATATAGCTGAATCAAAAGTTTCGTGTAACAAATTTACACTTACTATACATCATTCACATTGATATTTTCTTTTCTACTTTTTTTGGTTTTATTTCATTTTTTAAAATGCCAGTTGCAGCCCAACAGAATTCATGAACCCTGTCAATATGTTGGGACCTACAACCAGAGAAACCTTGCACCCCGCTCTAATACCATTTAATAATTTTTTTTTTTTAATGAATGTCCTGGGCATAGGGACAGGATAGGAACATCACTTTTTTTTTTTAAGATTTTATTTATTTATTCATAAGAGACAGAGAGAGAGAGAGGCAGAGGGAGAAGCAGGCTCCCCGCTGAGCAGGGAGCCCGATGCGGGGCTCGATCCCAGGACCCTGGGATCATGACCTGAGCT